TCAGAGTGGCTGTGGGTCCTTCGAAGGCCCCCTGACAACATGTTGTCTGAGTCTGTTTAGAAATAAAATAATGCTCGGAGGAGGAATGAAGAACTTAATAGGATTTTAAAAGCCACAGGAACTGATGGGGATACAGATGGTGGAGGGGCCGGGATGACGGAGTCAACCCTGGTTTTATGGTGGGGAACACAGCCCCGGGGAGGGCCTTGGAGCCACGTCCACATGCATCATGTCCCACCTCATTAGCCGGCCCGGCGGGGCTCCTCTGCCACACGAGCACTGGCCGAGGTGAGGGGGACGGACGCCCTGAAGATGCCGTTAAGTGGACGAGGAGCTGCGAGGGGCTCAGGAGCCACTTGGCTAAGTGACAGGCCCACACCTGCCTTGGACCAAGTGGAAATGGATGACTCACAGTCTGTCCCACCTGCCCCGGACCCTGCACGCCCTCCGCGCCCTGCCCCTCCAGCCAGAGACAGACTGAGACGGGGCGGGAGACTGAGCTGGTGGAGAGATGCAGACGTGGGCTCCCAGGTCTGCAGAGGGAAGAGAGGGGTACAATAGAAGCTGCAGCAGGGCCCTTCAGCCCCAGGCTGCTCTGCAGGATTTGGGGGGACATGAAAGAAGTTCTTTCACCCTCTTCCATATGTGGGGGGGTCCATGGCTGGAGCTCAAGGCCAACCCCCTTGACATCTCCTGAACCTCCCTGAAACCCTGAGCCAGTGGGGGGACCACATGGCTTTATAACCGAGAGCTCAGCCCTCCTACTCACGTCCACCCCACACCTTTCCTTCCATGATTATCTGGCTTCCACCCAGGCTCCCCTCCCAGGTTCAGGCTTGACTGCTGCCTTTGCCTCCTTTCCCTGGGCCTGACGAAGGCCTGCTCAGGACAACACATCCGGATGGACCCTTCGGTGGGCCCCGTGGCAGATGTGACAGCTTCCCCAGCTGGGGCCTCGCGTAGTCTCACATGTCAGCTGGAGGCTGGAGGGTGTCTGTGCCTGTATGGTTTTCCAGATCGGGTCCCTGGAGGGGTGAGGGCTGAGGAAGCCACCCTGCCAGACTGTTCTGCCCCTTGCTCCTGTCCCCTCCGGAGGAGCTCCCCGGTGCTTCCCTGCCTTCTCTGAGTGGGCAGCCCCTTGAATCCCCTCTCTCCCAGGCCTCCCTTTCAAGCCATCCTGGCTTCTAGCTCTTCCAGCTCCACATCCTGACATCTTGTGTTCTGTCTGTCATTTCATATTGATGAGCTGAAACCCGTGGCCCCAGTCTGTGCGCCACCCCCAGCCACTGTGTCCCTGGCAGGGACATTTGGTTTCCACTTCGCTAAGATGTGTATGTGAAGTTGAGTGTGTGTCGTCGAGTGCCTCTGTCGGTGTGAGTGGAAGGCACGTTGGTGGGAAAGGTGTGCGAGTGCCTCCGGGCCTCCTCCAAATGCAGCCGGGATGAGGCCTGCATCAGCCAAACCTTCTGACCTGTGGATGGCTGCCGGGAAGAGGCGGGGGTGGTTTCTGGTCATGGGGCGCTTTTAGGGGACAGCGTGCATCTGCTGGCCTCACTCCCCTGGTTAATGAACTGGCTCGCTTGTTTCGGGGTGAACGTGAGTTGAAATACAACTTGCTCTACCGAGTTCGGCGGGGTTAACTGGCTCCTTCTTGTAGAGGGACGGGTCCTAGGGAGGCTCTTTCTCTTTTGGTTTTCTTTCCCAGCCTGGCTGGAACCCTGGCTCTTGGTGGTGGTAGCAGGGACCGTCTCCTCTCTTCCTGCCTAGGGACATTGCAGCTGGGATGCCTTCTTTCTCTGACTGGTCCCCCCCACAGAGGCGGGGGCTCCTGCTTCTGATGGAGACAAGCACAACCCCTTGGCTTTGTATTCAAAGCCCCATTTTCCCTTTGTTTCCTCACTGTCTCCTGCCAAATCTATGTCTCTTGGTCCAATTTTCACCTCCTCCAGGAAGCTCTCCCTGCCTGCTCCTGGTCACAATGAGCTCTCTCTTATCTGACCCCCTCCAGCCCTGGTCTCTCATGTCTTATGAGTAGGTCTGGGAGCTCCCGGTCCAGCCTGGCCCTGCCTCCTTCACCAGGGACCCTGTTCTTCTCCCCTCAGTCCCGTTGAGAACGAGACTAGAGGCATGCCAAATGCTCGCAGCACCTTCCCACTGCCCCCTGAGTCCAAAAGGCTATCCTGGGAGTCCGAGGAGTGCTGAGCACCCAGGGGCTGGTGGCTGACAGGCAGGGCTTTGAATTCTGACTCTGCCATCACCCAGCTGTGTGTCCTGAAACAAGTTACTTAGCCTCTCTGTGCCTCTGTGGGGCCAATAACATCCACTTTCCAAAGATGTATGGATTAAACATATTTGTTTAAAATCCCAGCCCGCGGTGGATGCTCTGTAAACAGCAGCTTTACTGGAGAGGGAGCTCTCCCATCCCTGGGGGAGAGGGTGGAGGTCCAGAGACTCGGGCCTGCACCAGCACTCATTCTGGGCAAAGATGGGCGCAGAATCCCGGACCAGAACAAGAACTGCCGTCCTGTGCTCTTTCTAGGGAGCCCCCTCTGAGCGCCCAGGAAGCCCCTCTTCCTCGTGGTGCATTTCAGATACCTGTAGCTCCATTCCAGCCCCCCTGGAGGAAGGTTGGAGCCAACCCCACACTGGAGAGAAGAGAACTGAGCTCCTCAGTGGTTCCAACAGGATGGTGGCCTGTTAGCATCAGCTCGCATTTCATATCAGAGACCAGAGCCCCGGAAGTTACAAAGCAACCCCTGCACACATTGACCTCCTGCCAACACTCCGGCACCCACGCCTGTCCCTGGACTCCCCATCTCTGTGTGTGGGCTGATGTGACCAAGGGATGCTTCTAGAAGCATGAGACTTGGAATAAGAAGCTGGGACTTGACATGACTGTGCAGTGGGCTGAGGCCTCTCTCTGTGGTAGGCAGGGTCCAGAAAATCCTGCCTCCTGTCACCCCGGGCTCAAAGCGCCCATGTCCTCAGGGTTT